ATTAAATAAATAGTTATTAAATTAACTACTTAATTATTAGATAATAAATGATAATTTTTATATTTCTAATATAAATAAGTAATCTATACGTCTAATATAAATAAGAATATAGTAAATTTAACTATTTATTTAAAATATCGTTACTCATCTGGAATTAGTGATGAACCATTAAATTTTATTTCATATATAATAAAAGTATCTTATACTTCAATTATATATAACCCTATATATATATATATAAAATAACATGATAATATAAAGACAATTAAAAAAGAGATCATTAATTCAACACGAGGATCTCAGAAATCTAAACTACTGTGTTAAATTATATTTTTATAGGAGAAAAGCGAATGTCGAATATATAATCAAACTAAATATAACTGTCGCAGGTGGAATCGAATCTGTTCACCAGACCGGAAGAGCAACACGATTGCGGGCACGATAGTGAAACTATGCCAGACAGATTAGTACCAATGCTCTCCTGGGTGAATATACCTACAGCTAATTACCTGCTGCGTCACGCTTCCGTGGTAGGAATCCTAATTATTCGCGACTTACATTATCTCGAGTTGTTCAAGGAAATAACGAGAGAATTTAGATGAAAGATCAAAGTAAACTCGAATCTTTGTGAGATTTAAAGTGGACAAATTCATCGAATATCAAATTAAATATTCAAGAATAGAAAAATCATTTAAATTAATAATTCAAAACATAGAAGATCGGAACGCAATGAAATTATTTTGTACCGGCACAAATATTGTACATATACAAAAATATTGCATGTAAAATAAGATAGAAAAAAATGTAATCTAAAAAATGAAATAAATCATAACATAAAATATCAACAATAAAATACAATAAAGTTGTATGAAATTATAATAAAAAATAGATGCTTAACAGAAATACGATTAATGATCGTTAAAAATTGATAATATTGTTTAATAAGTTTTGAAGCTTAATACTTTATATCACTATCACTGTTATTACTATTATATCAGTTAATTTTTATTTTTATTGTATTTACGAAACATATTTTTAAGTGTAATATCAAATAGTAATTAACAATAATTTTTAAGAAAAATTTATGTCTTTTCTTTAACAATTTGTCCAGTTGGATACACATGCTGCGTACGTTAATACATATGCACATGTACACTCACGTGTATGTACATACATACATAACACGCGTGATCATATAGACACAGAATGCAACCTTGTCTAAGCTAAAATAAATGGAACTATTAATTGGGAACGTATGTGTGTAAATTCATTGTATGTGCGCTGCCATTTACGCAAGTATATGTTTAATATATCAACGATGTATTTATTATTAAATACTATTATTATTCATTTTTTAAGTAATAATAAAATTTTTTTTAAATCTTAACTTTAGAAAAATAAGACACACAATTTATAAAATATTAAAATATTAATAAAATTTAGAAAAATATACAAATAAATATTTATTTTTATCTGCCAAGTCTCTATTAAAAATTAAATTATATTAATGCTATTAAAAAATTAAGTTATGTTAATGCATTATATCAAAATATATATTTTAAATAAAATAATTATCAAATTATCTGCTTATATTTAAACAAATAAAATTTAAATTCGTAATTAAAATTATATAGTTTGTTTAGATAAATTATTTCTTAAATACACTCTTTAACAGAAGAGACAATATAAGTTTCTTGATTATTTAATAATAAATTAATAAATCGAACTTTTGAATAAATCGCTATTGCTTTTATATCATTGTTTAAAATATAACTATAGTTTTCTACAGTAGAGGTCAGTAAAGACAAGGTTACAAAGTACAATCTATGGATAATGTACATATGCGAATTTGTATCTACAAATGAAACGTTAGATTTTTATACACTAAAAAATATTTGTTAATATTACATGTTATTTTATGATTAATATTAAAGAAATCAAGATTTACGAATGCTAATAAATATAATTAATAATTAAATTTCTTCTGAATCAAATGGTAATGCAAAACGTAACCGATTGTTGATAACTAATTGTAAGTTATATATAATTCTGCGGCTATAATATATATGCTTAAATCAATTATTTTGGAATACAAAATATAATTCTAATATGTTTGGTAAATTAGAATAATATAACAAAATATTATTTCGTAGAGATAATAAAATATTTAGAAATATCATTTTTTTAAATAAAATTTATTTACTGCTCGCTTAATTAAAATTATTGTTAACGATAACTTTAGTGAATATTATTTTTAGTATGTATATAAAAATCAAGTAATATTTTATAAAGATGTTATCTTATGTAAAAGATGTTTTTATACTATAAAAAATTCAAGAGAGAGTTAATCAATAAAATTCTAAATATTTTTAAGCAGCATTGTAATAAAAATTTCATTTTAATTAAGGCACAAAAAAAAGTAACTTATTTTATTTTATCAAATTACCATTTTTTTAATATCACTTCATCGACAGTTAATTGGCATAATTAAATTGTATATACATAAACGAATTTGAAATGAATTCAAAGAATACCGCGGCGAGTCGATTGTGCAGCCAGTCGATTGTGCCATTACCATCTGTATTAACTCATCGCGTAAACTACCTAGATTGAATCTGTTCGATAATGCTGCCAACACAAGAGCATGAAGCATAGCGGCAACCGCTGACAAACACCTTTTCAACTTCACATGGAAACATCGAGCTTTTGTTTACGATTGATAATTTGACAGTCGTTGTGGAGTTTAGCAGTCTTCTGAGATATGGAAAATAACTCGCTTAAGCAACCCGTAGAAAACACAGGTTTTCCTAACGTAATTTATTATTGAAAAAAATCAAATCGGGTAATTTATTATCCTAATCTTTATTACAGATGTCAATCAGGACGAGTTGATACTTCAACAACAGAGACGTATCGAGAAGGAGGTTAATATACCCTTTGTATTATGTTTAAAATGTATCTTTAAAGATGTATTTTTTTTTTTAGTTTTATTTAATTTATTTGATTGGAATTGTAATTTATTGTACATTCACAAATTGGCCTCATAGAAGTTTTTTTTATTTCTGAGAGAGTCAATGTGAAATAAGTATTATTTATTTTATTAGTTTAAATTTATTACTCGAAAAACATAACTATATCCAAGCAATGTTTTATTGTTTTTAATAGTATCGTTCCATAAATATTTAGCTTCTCAAATTATAGAATTTCCTTTTGAATGAGTAGCAAAACTTCCACAAGATTTCAATCTTTTAATATTTGTGTTCTGTATTTCAGATTTCGGAATCTATAGCATTAGTTGGTGAAAAGGAACCACTGAAAAGCTTAGAACAAGAATATGCGGAAGACGAAGTATATCTTTCGAAGGCAAAAGCCTTGGCTCAAAAATATTCTTACATTAGGAGAACTAGACCAGATGGCAATTGTTTCTTTAGAGCATTTAGTTATGCTTATTTGGAGAAATTAATTGGGAACAAAGACGAGTATGACAAATTTCGTGATCTAGCTTTAAAAAGCAAAGATAACCTTGTAGCTCTAGGTTTTCCTCAATTTACAGTTGAAGATTTTCATGATACGGTAAGAGCTACTTTTTCAATTTTAAATTAATTTTATTTACATTAGCTCATAAAGACACAAATTATAGAAATGTTATATTAAAAAAAAATATATCTTATAAAAGATTTCATAAAGCATGCACAGTATATATAAATTTATGTATATGTGTATACAACATTTGTATTAGCTAGTATGATATCAACAACATAGAATTTATTGTGAAGAACATGAGTGATTTTTTTGAATTTTTATTGCAGTTTATGGAAGTCATTGACAAAGTAGGTGGTGACACAGAATCCAGTCATATGGAATTACATAAATTGTTCAATGAACAAGGTTATTCCGATTATGTTGTTGTATATCTTAGATTAATTACATCTGGTCAGTTGCAGCGTGACGCTGATTTTTATCAACATTTTATTGAAGGTGAACGTACTATTTCAGAATTCTGCCATCAGGTTTGTATCTGATGATATTAATCTTTCGTCATACTTTTTATATTGGATGTTTTTTCTTGTATACCTATTTTATATTTATTATACTTTTTTGTTAGGAAGTCGAACCAATGTATAAGGAATCTGACCATATTCACATTATAGCAATGAGTAGTGCCCTAGGAACTGGTGTTAGAGTTCGTTACATGGACAGAGGTGCAGGAACTGAAGTAACTGCCCATGACTTCCCTGAAGGTGCTATACCAGCTGTGCACTTATTATATCGTCCTGGTCATTATGATATTCTTTATCCTTGATGAATTTGACGTTACAGATTTTTTTAATATGGTATAAAAATGATTTCTAAAACGACTAGATCTAAACTTTAAACTCTATTTTCAAAAATGTTTTAATTATAATACAATATCTTTAATTTAAAAAACAAATCAATTTTGTGTACATTTTTCAGAAACCCTTAAGTGAATTTATGTATGAGTTTGTCGATATATCATATTGTTTATAAGAATTATTTTTAATTTTAAGGCTAATTGTCTGGAATAAATATCAAAGAATATTGATATATTGTTATATAGTTCTTTACTATTACATATTTCCTTCCATTTCTTGTTTCCTTATTTAAGTGTTTACATAAATAATGTTAAAGCATTTAAAACAATAAAACATTGAGGTAATTTTAAAGAAAATATTACTTTCTCTATATTTCTTCTATTAACAAAATAAATTATACTTTTATTTATACATATAAATTAATATTTTGAATAATATATACAACACATTCTTTCTCAACTTACAAATCACAAAATTAAACATTTTCAAGTCTTGATATACTTGATAGTAAACAATTTATAACAAAAAAAAAAAGAAAGACAATGATACATAAATAATTTTTAAATTACAATATATCACAAATTTAGAAAGACATGTTCTTAAAATTAATAATTCTGCAAAATAATATTGCACAAGTATTATTCATATAAATACATATATCCTGCAGATATTCATTGCGTAAAGTTCTTATGTACAACATAAAATATATATATGTATATCTCAATTCTATATTATCTTTGCATAGATCGTACTTGTTCAGTGACTTCTTCTAACATTACCGAATTTTTATCAATTACATCCATTTGATATTCCAAATGAGTAGCAATGAGTGCAAGCTTCTTCAAACTAGATTCTAACATTTCCAATCCATGCTCCTGCTGAGCAAAATTCCTTGCTGCATGCGTTAAAATCTGTAAGGATAACAGAATATATTTAGTGACAGAATTATTACAATATCAGTCTATTTTCCCAGAGAGAAGCCAATTAAAAAAATAAGATATTACTTCGCTGCTTCTGGAACCTCGTTGTATCTGCCTAGCAAGCGAAGCAATGTTGTTGACATTAACTTGCACTCTATCTGCCAATCTCATCTTTGACTCAATGAACAAGCTACGTGCGCTTGTACTGGATGCTGAAGCCATGTTGTATTGTTTTTCATTAATTGTTGGATAAACTTTGCTCTTAATATTATCCAGGATAGATCGTGAAGTGTTGTTGATTCGTATTTTAATGAGAGAGACTATTTCATTGTCTGAAAACATTATTACATTACAAATGAAGGTGATGTTCCTTGCATCTTATCTAATATTACCTTAAAGATATCTATTATATATGTACGCTTTTACGCATATAACATTTTGTTACGTTGCATTTAAAAAAATGGATCGAGTTTTTTACATACCACACACACAGCGTTACAAATGATAACAAATATCTTACAATGAATTTGACACGCAACTGATTGCACAGAATATCTACACTCCACTAACTATAGCTGACTATTTTCTGCAATTGCACTTTGCACTACGTTTTGTACTTAAAATGAAATAAAAGGCATGCTAATTAGACATTGAAAGAAGAAAGGAAAACCTATTTTTTATTCTTGAACTCTCTGAACTGGAGCACATGATGCAATAAATTGAAATTAAATAAATATACGGTTATTTCATTTCAACTTATTGCACCGTGTAGAGAGAGAGAGGAACAGAGAGTACAGAAATAAAAAATGGACCTAAAGAAAAACTTTAAGTTTATTTACAAGTACACTCCGTTTGTGTGAAATCCTACGTCGCATATTCTAATATATTTCAATATACCCCTAGTTCACATAGTTTTTACTTACTCCAATGCGCTTCTTGGAATAGTAAGAATTTAGAAGCAGAATAAAAGAAACAGAGAATAAGAATTTCAACCTATCAGAAATCATGTGTTGTAGAATAGACTTTATGTATGTACTAACAAGCACTAACAAGTGTAGCATAGCGCAAATGGTGCAAATGGAATTGGTATTCGTCACACAGTTTTGACGTGTTTTAACCTAGAGTTCGTCACACAAGAAAAGTAATTTTAAAAGCTGTTTATTGCATATTTTTTCGAAGATTACAAAATATATTTTATTATCTACGAAGTATATATGAGGTAATATCAAAAGTGTCTATTATTTAACAAACAATTACGAACGAAGGAGGATATCTAATTTTTAAAAGCTTCGTACTTATCTAATATTGAAATAAATCTATATAAACACTATTTATTAATGAATATTCTATTATATTTATGAACATTTATGAAATGATCTGATTATTCTGTATATATAGATATATGTAGAAGTGAGTGTATCTCTAATTGCTTAAGAACTGAGTTACTTTATTCTTAATGTTATGATCTGGGACGTTTTTTCTTTCTGCAACCATCAGAAGCAATCACGGATCTCTATCTAGGCCTTCGCACGTAAAAAAGCGTTAAACGTAACTTTAATCTTCGATTCTTTTGTTGTTTGATCCGAATTATCTCTTTTCCAAACATCAGAAACGAAAACTGCGACCATCAAAATAGTGTATAAATAACCTAATTTCCTTTTGGTTGGCATTAAATGTAAAATTCCAACATGATAAAATTTTTACGACTAACTTTAAAATTACGGTTACGGAATTTCACTTGCATTGTTCCATCTGATGATCTAATTGTACGTGTTGAAAACTACTAAAATTACGGTTACGTTAACGCTTTTTTATGTGCAAAGGCCTTAAGATTATCGTCGTTTTCAGAGATCAGATGACGAAAATAGCTTTAATCGTAGTTGCTTCTGGTTGGATAACGAAAAAACGCCACTGATATAAAACAGTTTTATAGATTCAAATGGGGTTTTATGTTTAAAACCTTTTAGGTTTAAATGTTTAGACAATTTTTATAATTTTTTTTTAATCTCTTATTGAATAATACAAAACTTTATATATTATATGTACACAATTGGTTGGTTTACAAAATGTTTGTTAAGTGTATTATACCTTATATAGTTATACAAAGTTGATATTTATTTATATCTATAATAATGATTTAAACTTTATAATTATTAATAATACTGGATTATATTTTTATTGACAGCATTATTTGTAATCAGGATGAAAAATGAAGATAATGATGTCTACAATCAAAAAGAATCTCCTGACAAAAATATCAAAAATAAAATAGAGATACCACTATATAAAAATAATGATTTAAAAATAAAATTGGAAAAAGAAGATACCCATAAAATTAAATATAGAGATATAGATATTAGGAAAAGAAAAATGTTACAAAATAAAGATAACGATTTAATAAAAGAATCAGAGACTACAGATGTCCATCGAGTTAAATGTAAAGATAAAATTCGAAGTAAGAAAAAAATATCTCAAGATGTAGACAGCGATGTAATAGAAAGATCAGAGAATGAAGATGTCTATAAAGTTAAGCATAGAGATAAAGATACTCAGAAGAGAAAGGAAATGTCGGAAGATGAAAATCTTGATTTAATGGAAGAATCAGAAAATGAAAATACCCATAAAGTTAAATATAAACATGTTAGGAAGAAGATAAAAATACCGCAAAATTCGGATAGCGATTCAATGAAAGAATTGGATAATAAAGATGCCTATCAAATTAAATGCAAAAATAAAGATATATGCAGTGGAATAAGGATATTACAAAATGGAGATAACAATTTAATGAAAGAATCAGAGACTACAGATGTCCTTCGAGTTAAACGTAAAGATAAAAATATTCGAAGTAAGAAAAAAGTATCTCAAGATGTAGACAGCGATGTAATAGAAAGATTAGAGAATGAAGATGTCTATAAAGTTAAACATAGAGATAAAGATACTCAGAAGAGAAAGAAAATGTCGGAAGATGAAAATCTTGATTTAACGAAAGAATCAGAAAATGAAAATACCCATAAAGTTAAATACAGAAATAAACATGTTAGGAAAAAGATAAAAATACCGCAAAATTCAGATAGCGATTTAATTAAAGAATTGTATAATAAGAATGCCCATCATATTAAATGCAAATATAAAGATATGCGGGGTAGAATAAAAATGTCACAAATTGATAGCGATTCAATAGCAAAAACAGAGAATGAGGATACTTATAAAGTTGAATATAAAGATGAACAGATTGAGAAGAGAATGTCGAAAGATGAAGATAGCGATTCAACAGAAAAATCAGAAAATGAAGATGCTTATGAAGTTAAATACAGAAATAAACATGTTAGGAAGAAGATAAGAATACCGCAAAATTCGGATAGCGATTCAATGAAAGAATTGGACAATGAGAATACCTATCAAGTTAAATGCAAAGATACGCTGAGTAAGATAAAAATGTCACAAAATGATAGTGATTCAATAGAAAAATCAGAGAATGAAGATACTTATAAAGTTGAATGTAGAGATAAAAATATTAAGAAGAGAATGTCGAAAGATGAAGATAGCGATTCAACAGAAAAATCAGAAAATGAAGATGCTTATGAAGTTAAATACAGAAATAAACATGTTAGGAAGAAGATAAGAATACCGCAAAATTCGGATAGCGATTCAATGAAAGAATTGGACAATGAGAATACCTATCAAGTTAAATGCAAAGATACGCTGAGTAAGATAAAAATGTCACAAAATGATAGTGATTCAATAGAAAAATCAGAGAATGAAGATACTTATAAAGTTGAATGTAAAGATAAAAAGATTGAGAAGAGAATGTCGAAAGATGAAGATAGCGATTCAACAGAAAAATCAGAAAATGAAGATGCTTATGAAGTTAAATATAGAAATAAACATGTTAAAAAGAAGATAAGAATACCGCAAAATTCGGATAGCGATTCAATGAAAGAATGGGATAACGAGAATACCCATCAAGTTAAATGCAAAGATACGCTGAGTAAGATAAAAATGTCACAAAATGATAGTGATTCAATAGAAAGATCAGAGAATGAAGATACTTATAAAGTTGAATGTAGAGTTAAAAAGATTGAGAAGAGAATGTCGCAAGATGAAGATAGCGATTCAACAGAAAAATCAGAAAATGAAGATACCTGTGAAGTTAAAAATGAAAATAAAGATATATGTAAAGTAATACTACAGGATGACAATAGTTCTTCAATGGACATTTTGGAGAATGAAAATGCTCAAATTAAGTGGGAAGATAAAGGTGTTAAAAATAAGGTAAAAAATGTTAGAAGATAATAATTCAACAGAAAAATCCAAGAATAAAAATGCTTATAAAGTTAAACTAGAGAGAACCTGAGATTTTGCCATTTTCAATAAATTAAATTATATAAAATCTCCTACTATATATCATAATAAGTGACATAAAGTACACTGTTTCAATAGTTGTGTAATTAGTAAACATTTCTTATTATTTTCAAATTTCAAATTTCATTATGATAAAAGTAATATATACACAATACTTATTTATTGTATAAAGATGGACCTATAAAAATACACTCATTCGACGCGTTTTTATACGAAATGAATGAATCTGGCAGAAAAAAGTATCTCACTGCTTCGCGAACCAAGAATACAAATTTACTGCTTTAAATATACAAATTCACTGCTAATGTAAAGAATTTGTGTTTTTGAAACAGTACTTTTGTATTTTTAAAGCACTGATTTTTTGTGTACCTAAAACGCATGTGCACATGACCATACAGCATCTTTTTTTTCTCTGGTATCACTGCTACGACGTCGTCACGCCGCAATAATGCGCGTCAGGACGAACGAACGAGTACGAGTAGCGCCAGTCCGCGAAATCGCATCCAGAAGAAGAAATGCACAGTTAAAGTCGGCAACACTTTCAAAAATATACAATACGAGCACCCGATCCAAAACGCGTCCGTTACGGTGGTTCTTCAGAACTCGACCATACAGCATGAAAGGTATTTCACGACTGACAGTTTTCCTAATCTGAATAGTCGTCAACTTTAACACTTAATGTGTTCGCGAGGCAGAGCGACACTTTTTATTGCCAGGTTTGTTCGTTTCGTGCAAAAACGCATCGAATGAGTGTATTTTTATCAAAATTTGAACTGAGTGGGGTATTCTATATATACCTTTACCAAATTTAAGAGTGAAAATGGGATGAAGACGTCACAGGAAAAAAATTGTGATTCGAAGAAATTTTGGGAGCCCAAATACATTCGTAAAGTAAAGAATGAATCTTCTGATGAAGGTGTAGAAGAAGAATATTGCAGTGAAGCAACATATCTAGCGCGGCAAATAGCATCAACAGAGAAACTTGACCAAGCAGAAATACAAGTAAAACAATTCTGGAAGATTTCAATTTGACAAATGTTTTTTAAATAAAAAATATATATATTTATATAACTACTTTTTTTATTGCAGAAATTATACAATTTACGTGTGCAACTGAAACATGCAGTACCACCACAGCATAAAATTGAAACACGCGCTGGATCTCATGCGCCACCACGAAGGGAAATGGAAGAGTTTGAAAAAATAACACCAATCAGGAAAGGCGTATATTCTTTTGAAGAGGACAAACTTATTGCTAGTAATTGGAAAACATTTTGTAAGGTTTGTATGCAAGATGTATATATCTGCTTATCTAATTCTTAGAAATGTTTTTAAAATAAAATTTAAATATTTTCCATAAAAAATATATATATCTAATGCAGAAGCTTTTACAATGTTGATTTTGAAACAGATACATAACTGGGATATAAAAAAAGTTCAACCATTTTTACAATTAAGAATTGGCAATTCGACATACATGCGTAATACTCTGGAAAGACGGAAATTTGTACAATTTTTAGCCAATGGTTTACTAGACAGAACTTTATATAGTGTCTACCATAGATTTAAAAATTTATATGGAAATACTCTGCAACGAAGGTAATATATAATAAAATGTGTATATATATATATATTTACATAAATATTTATCTATATTCTTGAATCTATATCACATACGAAAATATATAATATATAACTTATTCTGTATATTTATTGATTTTTAAATACTTTATTATCAAAGTTTTTGCTTGTTGAAGTCTCTTTGTCGATGCCATTTGCCGCGATATGTTCCTTTATCGCAATATTTTCTTTCTACATTTTCTTCTTTATCTTCCATCTAACGAATATATTTGTTCTTCCGTATTTTTTTCTTACTTAGTATGCGATATTTTTTAAGAATAATAGCCAATTCGGTTGGACACACTAGTGCATATTAAAGCTGCGGTGTATAAAAATGTAGTGAACACTAATTTTTAATTTATAAAAGTGAAATGTATAAGTATTCCAAATTATAAAATACAGATTTTACTTAACAATATAATAAAATGTATTAAGGATTTCATACTTCAATCCATTTTTATATTAAACACATTTTTACGTGAAGTATGTACAATGGTTTTAATGTGCACCAATTCGCACGAAGTGCATTTAATCGAATTCGCTATAAGACCCTAGTGCCGTCTATATATATATATACATAAATAGTATCTTTTTTGAATGTAGGTCAGTGTAAGAATCACAGTAATCTCAGATAATCAAACAAACTCACTAGGCTAATTGCAATGCCAAATAATCTAGAATCTTGATCTACTGGATTTTTACACTAGTCCACATTCAAAAAGGATGTTATTAATGCATGGTACATTGTATGTAAATGATATTTGATCTTATATGTTGTTACATAATTGTGAAATATAACACTTTAGTGTTAAGTATATAATATAATTAATAACAATATATAGTAACAAAATATTAAATTAAAATGGCTAGGTTTAAAACTACAGAAGATGAAATGATAATAAATCATTTAGAAAATAATCCATCTCTTGAAGAAAAACGTAAATATGTTGACCTGGCCAAAGTTCTTCGGAGAACAAGACACTCCATTTGGCGACGTTATCGAATATTAAAAAAGAGAAAACGTAAAAATGAAAATAATTGATGTAGTATTTATTTTTAATAAAAACATTATTTTAATAACACATTATTATAACTGTAATTAATTTTGAAAACTTGAAGTAAACTGTAAAGATATAATAAACTAGGAGATTCCATCCATTTATATATCTATGGTTTTTCATTAGTATATTTATAATGTATATAATAGCATATAGAATAAAATTGTAAATATACTAGTTTGAAATTAAAAAAATGTGTATTTTTATATAAATATATATAAGATATTATAATTATGTATGATAAAATATTAGAAATATATAAGTATAATAAGATATTAGAATTTTTTTAATTCGCTCTTTCATTATCATAACATCTTATTTCATATTTGTAAAAAATTTATATAACTTATGAATAAACATTTTCTGCATATAATGCTTTACATAAAATAGTAAATATTCTATGAACTAGAAAATGTAAAAAGAAATAATGTTCACTAAATTTTTAATATCAGTTGTATTATACAAATTGTACTAAAAATTATCTCACACATTATGTATAAAATATAGTAGAAATAGAATTCTATTTTTTTATTATATAGGGTGTACATACATTGCTCGATTCTAATTTTGTACTAAATCAAGTATGAAATACCTGTCGTCTATTAAACGTTATTATTAATTTTTAGCTTCTTTGATGTTACTATGTTATAATGAAAAAAATTTAGAATCGTATAGAATTTTTATTAATATATCTTTTTATAACAAATAAATAACTGACATGCTAAATTATGCAGGCGCTGTGGGAAATAAAAGGACTCTGTAAATATACGTATATTTTGATTGATAAAAAACTTATTTAATTATATATGTTGATAATCATATATTGGTGGAGAGATCTATGTCGCAACAAAATTTGTAGGACTGAAGAGCTAATACTTCTATTAATAATACAAAAAATATAATAAAATAATGATAGTAGCTAAGATTTTAAAATAATAAACTTTATCTTCATTTAACATTTAGAAGAATAAGATTTACAAACTATATTAAATATTTAAATGAATGATGATCAGTCTCGCTTATAACTTGTTATTATATGTATGTATAATATAATTTTTTAATTATGTGTATGTATATTTGTACATTCCTTACTTATTTTTGCTTCGTTTTTAAAATAACCATTATTAATTATCATTGTATTCATGATCGTTCTGTTTAATTAAAAATTTAAATAAATCTGAATCCTAATGCTTTAAATACGATCAAAAGCTCTACGTCCACGATGCTAGAAATTAGTCGGAGATCTCGAATGAAAAAAGAATTGACCAACCGCGTTGGTTATGCAAATAAATTGTTTAAATGTGATTTGTTAATTCTTTCTCTGTCCGAGATTTCAGGTTGATTTTTAGCATCGTGGACACCAAGCTTAAAAAATTTTTTTTTAACTATATTCAACGATTAAATGAATTATACAATGTATATTCTGATTATTACTTTCAAGTACAATATTTTCAGTTAAAGGATTATATATTTCAGTATATATATATATATATATTTATCTATCTAACATATATAACATTTTCATTTTTAATGAAATTTAAAAAAATTGAATTTAAATAATGATGTTTGTACGCATTACAGTATAATAATTTCATATTATAGTCTAGGTAATTTTTGTAAATTGTATATAGCATGAATATGATTATCATTCATTTAATTCTGACTTATTTTGATGATGGAATATATGCCAATTAAGTTCATTAAATGAATAAATTGTATTAACGTCTTTTTTCTGTTACCATTTATATGATAATCACAGCCCAGAAATTGTATACCTGATATTACATCTCTAACGCTATTCAAGGAGCATGTTGACTCATGAGTCAACAGTTTTTAACGTTAATAATGTTAGAAATCAAAATAGAATCAAATGAAAATTATAATGACATACATGAAATCGTATAAATGACGTATCAGTAGAAATAAAGAATGGGAGTTAACGCGAGTCGATGAGAGTCATAGTCTAGCGCTTATAACGTTTGAAATCGTAGGAAATCGCTTAAAGTCGATTGCAATCATTTGCTAAACATTAGTTTATATGACTTGCTTTGATTCAAGAGTGACATGCCCCTCGGCGCTATTATATATTTCTGCACATAAATTACCAAAATCTTTAAGATGTCTAAAAACAAAGAATGATTCGCGTTTACGAGTATCTACGGATATTATATATTGCGCTCCTATATTTTTTTTTATTAACATTGCGAATGAATCGTCTTTGAATACTTTCTTATTTTCATTCATTTATTGATTTAATTCTTCAATTGACGTTGATAAATAATTGGATAAATTTACTGATAAAAAAAATCATTCTCTTAAAAAATAACACAACAATGTAAACAATTATCATGTAATATGTGGTATAACAAGATCTGGATTATACAAAACATATATTATATATACAAAAAAATATGTATATATTATATATGTGTGTGTGCATATATATACACACAATGTTGAAAATATGTAAAGTCTACAAATATTCATATCTATGACATCAAATAATAAAAAAATAGTTCAAAATTTTAATAATAATAATTATTCCATTTTGAAAATTCTTTTACCTTGTATAAACACGAGTATGATTTATTTTATTATATCATAGATACTTATTTACGTGTTTTTTAAAAGTAAAGAATTAGAGTCTTCGAGCGCCGAGTATATTCAAGGAACATTTTTCATTGTGAAAAATGAGTTGTATATACATTTACACAGACAACGTGCAGCTTATGTTACACGCATTTCGTATATAGGATTTACAGTTGTATACACAACATTCATCGCAGATAACGCTTGTAATCTATGATACCACTTTGTTCTTAGAACATTTGACCTATCATAGCAACTGGTCGCACTGCTTGCCCGTTATTCACGTGGTTATTCATATTTACGTGAATATGAGTGATTGTGTGTGGTATGTGATGATGATTGTGATCATCAACAATCATCTCGCCGTATTGGGCACGACAACGTTTCTGATGTGCAAAGAGGCTGCCACTATGGCTATATGCTGCGCCGCATGTCTTGCATACGTACGGTTTCTCACCAGAATGAGTGTATGTGTGCTCCTTTAACGTGCTAAGCCTCTTGAAAGCCTTACCGCAGGTTTTACATAGATAATTTGCCTCACCAGTATGTCGGGTCAAATGTCTGCGAAAAGCCGAACTCACGGCGAATGCGGCGCTACATACGTGACAAACAAACGGCTTGTCACCTGTGTGAATACGAATATGATTCGCTAGACTCGTCGTGGTCGTGAAGCCGCTGTTACATGTCTTGCACACATGCGGCTTAATGCCGGTGTGAGTTCGCATGTGATAGGTGAGAGACGAGTTGCTCGGGTATACCTTACTGCAGATATGACATAGGTATTCGCGTGGTACTTTCTCCTTTGGTTTGTGCGTTCTCTGATGGAGAACGAGACGAGCCTGACTAGCGCAGACTTTCCTACAAATCTCGCAAGTAACAGGTTCGGCCTTAGGCTTGTGCATCGATACATGCCGTCGCAAACCTTTTTTAGTGGCCATGACCTTGTCGCAGTGCTGGCATTTGTATTCTCCGGTTCCTTCCTCGTCGCTCTCTTCTTTCTTGACGTTTTCGCTCTCGGGCGGAGGATCTATTGTGTTGTTGCTTGGCATATCGTCGTCATCCGAATCGTACAGCTTATTATCGTCCATCAAATTATCCAACAGCCCATGCCCGTGTTTCTCCGCGTGTTTCTTTAACGTGTCCGGCCTGAAGAACCATTTCTTACACACGGTACAAGAATACTTCTTGTCGCCATGCACGAGGGCATGTCTTCTTAGATTCTTCAAGGATGAGCAATACTGATTGCAAATCTCACATTTGTACAACTCTGGCGCGTTCTCGAATTCGTCTGCTTCATTTGTAGGCCCAGTCTCGTCATCGGTATCATCTTCGCTCTTGAATTCTTTCTTCGGTTCCTTATCTTTTCGCTCGCTTGTGTTGATCTGCTTAATCATATCGTTTACTTTTTCTGTATGTGACTTCAAGTGCCTCACGAGACTCTGAGACTTCGAGAAGGACGCATGACAAAGCTGACACGCATGCGGTTTTGATGCATGAACCTTTTGATGCTTTTCCATGTTATCCTGCTTATAAAACATTTTTAAACAGACATCACACTTATACTTCTTATCGTGAATTAGCGAGTGTTTCTTTAGACCCTTCTGTGTTGCATATTGTTTTGGACAGACTTTACACTTAAACTTTGACTCCACTGAATCTTGGCTGTCACTACTTGGCTCATAATAATTATCAACGATTTCATCGTCACTATATGTTTTAGCAGATTTTGCTTTTCTCGCAGATGTACGTTTTTGTGGGACGCTTTCCTCTTCTATATTATCATTGGATAAAGTTTCATTCACGAATTGCTCTTCCTGGACTATATTATTCTTTTCTACATACTGATCAGTTTCCTTAATTTCGTCATCCTTGTTTTGTAAATTAATAATGTTAGTATCTTGTATATCTTCCTGTACAATTGTCATTTGATGAACCTCACTTGTTGATATGCAAGAATCCTTCCCTTCTTCTTTACTTCCTTCAAATCCGATAGAACAGATGAATAGCTTTTCATCTGGTAGTTGAATTTGATTGGTATTCAGATTGACTCTAGGAAATGAATCGGTGGTTTGAACATACTCTTGTGCATTCGTAACTACTTCCACGTCTTCCTTAAAATAATCCTCTTGAAAATGGTCTGACTTTTTTGACTGTATAAGTTTCATTTGTAGATCTGTCTGTGTATAAGAATCCTGTAAATCCTGAAAAATCACAAACTATCATGTATTTTCATACATAGGCAGATATAATTTCATAAGACTTGATATTTTTACCATGGCAGGCTTAATAGATTTGACAGGCTTATTGTAGTACATGCGTAATCTTGCATCAGAGTACTGGCACTGTTGCCTGAATTCATGAGCTATGCTGGCTTTGTAAATGCAGTCGTTACATATCA